AATGCATCTTTAAGTCCCAGGCCCTCATTCCTTTCACATTCCAGAGCATATTTGGGGTTGGAACAGTTAGAAAACTGAAAATAAACTGAAATGCAAGCATCAGCATTTTCTGATCCTCAAGCAACTAAATATTGGCAAACAACAAAGCAGAGAGAACTACACAAGGCTGACTAATCACAGACAGTAAAAAGCAGGCAGAATGAAAAAGACAGAGGAACTTCTTCACTGGAAGGGTGGTTAGGAGTTATCACAGACTGCCCAGGAAAGAGGTGGAATCACCATCCCTTAAAAGTGTTTAAAGGGTGCATGGATGTGGCACCTAGGGTGCCAGTTTAGTGGTGAACATGGTGGTGCCAAGTTAATGGTGGGCCTCAATATTCCAAGGGGTCTTTTCCAACCTTCATGAAAATATGTGACAACAGCAATGGAGGCAAACATTCACAGTGGTAAATGGATATGTGGCAAATCTTGTGCAGTAAGTCTCCAGTAAATTTGATTTATCTAACAAGGTCTCTGCTCAAGAGCTTTTAAATAAAGTGAAAATATGTGACAACAGCAATGGAGACAAACATTCACAGTGGTAAATGGATATGTGACAAATCTTGTGCAATAAGTCTCCAGTAAATTTGATTTACAAGGTCTCTGCTCAAGAGCTTTTAGATACTTTATCTATTATTGTCATTAACAAATTTCCACACGAATAAAGTAAATTTGAAGGCAATTACATAATCAAAACTCAAACCTAGTTTTCAGTTTTTTAAAACACAGATACCTAACAAATTGCAAAAGCCCACATTTAAGATATGAAATATTGCTGACTGTTGCTAGACAGTTTAGTTTGCTATACACATTTCCTAATCAAAGGCATCTTTCAGAAAATGGTAAAAGAAGGAAACACTACTCACCAGCTTTCTTCCTCTGCCCTGCCCTCTCTCCACTCGTGGGTTTGAAGGCCAATGGTCCTCTGGTTATGTGGGTTTGATTGTCTGTGCTAGAGGTAAGAGCTCTTTTCCTTTCCACTTCTTCCACATGCTCTGGAGCTGTAACTCTACTGTTTCCTACAAATGCTTCACTCTTCCTCTTACGACACGAAGAAGCTGATCCAGTAGGAGATGAATTTACCTTGTCATTGTGACACTTATTTTCAGATGAAATGGGAGCTGTAACTGGCAGATGTTTAGATGTTTCTGCTTCCACATATCCAGGCACCACATTAGCACATCCTGTAATTGCTTTATTAAGGCATTTTTTAGATTTTGGCTGGTGGGTTTCTGTTCTTGTTTCTTCAGCAGCACCACGTTTACTTTTTATGACAGTGGCAGAAAGAATTGGACGCTTTTTTGTTCGCTCTCTCTGAGAGGGGTTGTCAGTCTGAAGTTTCTCTGCAGAAGGAGAACTGCAGTGATCTTCCTTGGGTTTATCACAATCAACTGCCTGTGATTTTACATTATGCAGTTCAGAGACTTTATTTAAGCTGTATTCTATGTGAATACGTGTTTCTGTCTCCACACCTCCATCTTTTTTCCATTTTGCTGGTAGAAATCTCTTAACAACATAAGTCTCTGTGGTGGACGATATTAATGCTGCCTCAGGTTTAGGAGTCTTTGATGGTTTATCTGACAAACTGTCCTTCACAAATTGATCAGGTGACAGAATTGGAATAGGCTGTTCTATTACATCTATATCCACTTGATAATTGTCATTTACAAAAGCATCTGGACTTAAAATTCTCCTTGTACTTAAAAGGGGCATAGAGGCTGAGTGTTCTGGAGTAGAAACTGGTGACAGTGTAAAATTAAGAACCCCTCCATCATCTGAAATTGGCAATTGTGCTAATCCAGCAGAACTGGAGGCACTCTCAGGTTGCAATTGACTGTGCTCAGTAACACATTTATCGATGTTACAGATGTCTGTCTCAGGCAACAACTCCTTATTTCCAGAGGCAGCAATATCCCCAAATGCAGTAGACCTCCTCAGGGCAAGCGGTGTGTGAACAGTGCTGCCATGTTCCTCTGGCACTGGTGCAATAGGGGATGGAGGCAGCTGATTCTCTGAGCCAGCAGCAGAGTCATTTCCTTGGGATGTGCCATTCTGTACTGTGCTCTGATTCTCACACGACTGAAGGGGACTTCTAATTCTATCCCCCTTCTGAGAAACCTGAAATGTTTTATTAACATTTTTCGTTTCTAAAGTACTCTTCTTAGCTTTTATTGCAGATGTTCCTGAAGAGTTCTTCTTTTTTAATGTTTCCCAAAGACTCTTCTGAAAAAGAACCATACATAGAAGTTAGTGTGCTGGCTTTCTAAATTCTTCTGTATGTAAAAGTAAACATTAGTAGCAAACCCACTCAAAGTTTTAAAAAGAACTCCTAAGAACTCCTGATCAAAAATTCACAATACCTTATTTGCAGGCTTGAAAACCATTCATTTGGTCATATTTCCGTTTTATTCTTTAAGCTGTAGTTTATCAGTACCTACTTTCCAACCCAGCTAAAAAAAGTTGAGGACAATGGGAATTCCCAAAGCATCATTTATCACTTTATAGCCCTCTTTCACTGAATTTGCTAGTGATAAAAACAATATTTGCATCACAGATGCCAAAGTTACAGAATTAACAATGGGAATTCCCACAGCATCATTTATCACTTTATAGCCCTCTTTCACTGAATTTTCTAGTAATAAAAATAATATTTGGCAAAGTGACAGAATTAGGATACAATAAACACACACTCACCTTTTTCTTTGGGGGCTGCTCTGCAGCACCAAGGAGCACAGCTTGATGTTTCACAACATCATTAACAACAAAAGTCACCAGTTCTCTGATTTTTCCTTCTTCTAATGGTGTCCACGTGACAGAAACAAATATTCTTTGTCCTGCCTATTGGAAAAAAAGTAAAAATTAATATTTGACATTTAGGTACATTTTGGTAGCATTGAAAATCAATTAATCAACCAAAGAATGAGCAGTATATAGAAGTAATATATATTACGACAACATAAAATGATAAAAAATTGTTAAATGTTTAAATGCCAGGTTTCCTCTTTGACATGTAAATTTAAGCAACTCCTATCAAAAATGTCTTACTGAAAGGCTGAATCAAACTATAGTGGAAAACAAGAAAGAATACATATAATATAACAAATAGCAGAAGATTTGAGTAAAGGCGAGACATAATTTTTTGCACGTATTAACCAAATAAGTACTCCAGAGTAATTTTGAGAGAATTATGGGGAGAAATAATCAGAGGTTGATTAACTTAGGATCTTAGCAGACCCTAAATATAAGTGTAAATGTTTTTAGTCAAATTTGACATACAAGTCCTTCAACAAAAAGTAAAACACTGCAAATTATCAAGGAAGTAATGAAGCTTTCTATTCATCAATTCCTAGAGGAACAAGCACTTTGCAGTGAGACTTCACCCTGATTTTATAAGCCCGTTATTGCAAGACATGTCCAGAGCGTTTCTTCCTCTCTCACAAGCACTCTGGTCAGTCTAGAAAATTGTAGATATATGTTCGTCTAAACGGTTCTTTTAAAAACTGGCATCGATTGGACGAGCCACAGTTTGCATTTCCTTAGGTATTGTAAATATTTAATCCTATTTTAAGCATGCCTTGCACTCAGTTGTGTCAGCTAATGAACGTGCAAGAACAGTGAACCGGCATCCTCTTCCCTCCGCCTTTTTCCTGAACATATGCCCTGAAACTTTTTGACAGGTCTCTGTCTTTAGAACAGCATTCCCAACGAGCAGTCAATTTCACTGTATTTTTTTATCCTCGCTGCAAACTCCTCTCTGTGGCAGCAGGCTGCAGCCCCTCGCCCCGCTGACAGCCCTGCCCGACCCCGCCGCGCCCGGCTGCCGCCGCCCTGCGGGGCGAGCCCGGCCCCTCACGCACCGCCCGCCGCCGCTCTCGGGGCCGCGGCCGCCCCGCAGCCCGGGACACGCTGGCTGCCCCCGGGCAGCTCCTCCCGAGCCCCCCGGCCGCCAGGGCTGCTGCCCGTCCCCGCGTGTCTCCCCGTACCTCCACGAAGAAGCGGCGCTGCTCGATGCTGAAGCCCCTGGCAGCGGCCGGAAAGCGGTCGATGACCACCTCGGCGTCGTCCTCGTTGGGGTTGTCGATGCGCAGCAGGCGCGTGCGGGAGGCGCCCACACGCAGCCGGCCGAAGCTGAGGAAGGGCGGCCGGGAAAAGTAGCTCAGAACCAGCACGGCGGGGTCCTCATCCGCGTCCTCCTCGCTGCCCCGCGGGGCCCAGCGCCGCCGGCCGGGCTTGCTGGCGGGGCTGCGGTCCCCCCGCGCCGCTGCGGCCACGGAGCCCGCGGCCATGGCCGGGCAGGCGCGGAGCAGCAGCTCCGCACGGCAGCGCCGCACCAACCGCCGCCAGCGCGTTCAAACCTGCAGCTCCGCCAATCCCGGAGCGGACCGCGCAGGATAGCCCCGCCCCCTCGAGCCTCAGCCAATCCCAGCGCTGCTCGCGCCCGTTCCAGTCCGCCCCCTCGCCCGTCCGCCAATCAGCGCCCGGCGCTTCATTTAAACAGCCGGAGCTCGCGGGGCCGCGAGCGCTGCGCGTGAGGGTTCCGCGGGTTCGAAATAAAAACATAACAAGGGCGGGGAGCAACGGCCTGAGGGAGAGCGATCCAACCGAGGGACAGCGCTCGGCCTCAGGGACAGCGATCCTCCCGCGGGACAGCGCTCGGCCTCAGAGACAGCGATCCTCCCGAGGGACAGCGCTCCGCCTCAGGGACAGCGCTCCCGGGACACAGCGAGAGCCACGCCAAGCCAGCGCGGGGCCTGTACAGAGATTTAATTTACAAAATACTTTAAAGCCAAAAGGAGAACGAGACACGCGCAATGCTGATGGAAGCATCGGCCTCATCTGTTTCTCTTTCATGAACATTGAAAGACACAGAATACTGTGTTTTCTTCTGCTGGCAAACAAGAGGGCAGAAATACAAGCTTAGAGCAAGCACCCCTGCAAGAAATCCTGTGAAGCACACGATATTAAGACAAAAGAGCTTTACTTTTCCATAGCAAACAAAATTACACATAGGACTGAGTACTTCCACATTTACAGTACACTTCCTAACTTTTCCTTACAGCAAAGGATTTCCCCTAAAAAGACAACTTTAAAGACTTCCATCTAAAATACTAACCTGTACAGATGACATCTAAAACACATTATCTCAATATATGAGTGACAAAATATTGAGTTCTTTTCACCCTATTCTTTCATATAAAAGGACCAACATTTAACATGACCAAAACTGTTATAGGGGATTAAAAAAATTTTGTCATTTTAACCTTTAATCCATCAAAACCTTATAAACAAAAACATTTCTAATAAACCATGAAAAATCCCTTTCGGCCTTAGGCAAGGTGACTGCCCTGCATTACATTCTGCCAGTGACATTCTTGGATGCACAGGATGAAATAACCAAATTGTTGTGAGACTGTGCTGTAGAGCAAGATCCCCCAGGACAACAGCCACAAGGACCTACAGATAAATGCACTCTGCTTCCCTTCAGCCCCAGCCGTATGGGGAACACACAGGCTGGATCGGGTACGCTTGTGTGTTCCACAAGAAATGTCACATATTTTTTATTGTTACCAGGGGAAAAAAAAAACCTCTATTCATCTACAGACTTCATTCATAATTCTACATTCATGAACTGCTACAGAGAAGTTGTTTTAAATTAAAAGCTTGAGGGTCATTTATTCCTTAGCAGTCCATAACACGTTTCCTGTTCGATCAAGCACATTGTGAGGCGACTCCCTGGAAGCCTTCTTCAGCTCTGGAGGCTCTTTCACATTTGTCAGAGGGAAATAAGCTCAGCTCTTTGATGACACCAAATACATCTTTTGTCATTGTGGTCTGGCATGACCCATTTTTAGGAACAACTACTGGGATTATAATCCAGACAACAGTAGCACTGTGTTTTTAAGGAAACCACCGCCTTACAGAAAAATAACTTCACCATTACAATGACTGATGTTCAGCGTGAAAAGAACCCATGAGGGATACACCTCTGTAAGAAAAGTGTCAGTGCTCAAAGAGGAAATTCCAATACAAATAAATAAACTGAACATAAAACCCATTGAAAGAATTAAAGGCAGTAACTCAGTCTACAACCAGAAATTGTATAGCAAATTTGTATAGCAAAAAAATACAGAATTTAATGTTTGAACAGAACGAGTGCACTAAGTTCTCAGAATCATGCAGCAGCCTGGAGTACCAGCACAGACTCCACTTTTCTTCCCAAAGTTCAGCATGTGGAAAAGATCAACTTTTTGCAATGTGCCACTAAACACTCTTTCCAGATCTTTTTAAGAGACACCTGCTTCTTCCTTCTTTGGCAACAAACACTCAACTGGTCTAGGGACTGCCTGATAAAACATTCCTTGTAAGTTCCCCTCCACATCAACAGCACCCACACTCTGATGAGCACACACTGAATGGGGGGAGCAGGCACTGAGGAGCTCCAGCCCCTGAGCTGAGAGGTGCAGCCCTCTGCCCCTCAACCCCAGTCCTCCTAGCAGGGACTGTCTTCTACCAAGCAGAAACCAGATCCTCTCACCTACCAAACGAAGTCCCAGCCCATTAAAATTTACTTTGCTCATATATGAATTTTAAGTAGATGTAAAGCCATACAAATTATAGCTCATGTTATTAAATAAAAATAAAAACTATGTATCTAGCACATAAGCTTTCCTATTGTCTTTCACTGTCAACTGGCAATGACCCAGCCTGACCAGCAGGTACAAACACTAACTAGTAGGGTTATCTGCAAACAAAAGAACACCAAAGAACTAGTAGGTAATTTTTTCCAGGAATGACTATTAATTCTGGTCACCCAAACAGCAAAAAGCACTCATTTTTCTCAAAAACGAGTCCTTTTATAGTCCATTTCTTGTTGGGCATGCACAAACATGGAGCCCTTTGAAAGTTATTGACCTTAACATTTTCTGAATAAACAACTCAACTAGAGAAAAAAGCCATTCTTTAGAATAGATATAAAAGGCACAATCATGAAAGAATTTTTAAAAGGACATTATCAAGTAAATATGCTCCAAATTCCAATTCAGTGTTTTCCTAGAGTGCCTTCCAAACAGACTGGACTTTAAAAGTAACAATTATTTACCAATCACTTTGAAACTACTGTTTTGTCAAAAACCCACAATACTCATTTCTACTGTAAGACAGAAAAGACAAGAAATAACAAAGAATTAGGCTTTTAGTCTGAGCACTGCACTGACACCACTGATGTTGGGTTACTTTCAACAGTACACTTACAAATGCAGTAGAAATCATGTTTCATGTGCACATGAATAGTATAAGTATGATACACACATGTAGACTTGAAAAGTACACATAAACCAGCCATTTTCAAGCCATGGAGTGTAAAGGTGACAGAAACAGTTTTATTTTGAAAGGAGATGAAAGGTGGAGTGAGAAAGCAGAAAGGGTAGTACTTGATAGTGTCCTTTCAGAAGTGGCATTCAATGGCCTTGTTATTGCTGTGTATTTGCTAGTCTTCAGCTTCTTCCCAGATCTATTTACAGCATGTCAGTCTGAACATTCCCAGAGCACAGCTCTAAATTTTACTTTAGAGTTACAAACATAGAACAGTTAAACATATGTAGTCCTGTTTTAGAAACTGAACTTTTAAAGTTTAGGACTTCTATTGTGCTTCTTTGGCTAAGTCCTATTTAAATATTGATAACACTTACAATTCTATAACTCTGCCACTATTTAACAGCTAACAGAAATCTTTGGTGTGTTTAGGTTAAGAATCCATTAGGGTACAAGCTTCAAAATATGAACATTCAGGCAGTTCTGGCCCCTCTCCTGCAAACTGCTCAACACTGAAGTAGATGATTAATAGAATCTAACACCAAAGTATCTGAATACAATCTCAAATGATCTGTGCCACTTTAGAGTTTCTAGAACTGTGATAAGAGAGTCACCTCATCACAACTCCCTTGTGCTCAGCTCACTGAATAAATTTAACAGTTACAGCAATACACATAAATCCAGTTTCCCATTTTAAAGATTCTTTCAGATAATAATTTAAGAATAGAGAAAACTGGAGAAAAATTTCAATCTTAATTCATAGTAGGATGGAAATCTTATTATACAATTCTTGTGAGGAATTATGAAGATTATAGTTACTTCAGATACTTTCTTTGGCATCATATTCACCAAACAAACACAGAGTAATTATTTTTAAAGTACACTTAAAAGAGAAAGCTTGATGAGGTTAAACTATACTAGATTTCATGGTGACACCACTTGTAATTCCAACTGGGTTTTTTTGAAAAAAACCCCTTATGTCTAGTAAAGAAAGAGCTAAAAATAATTAGACATAGAATACTCTCAAGAGTTTAACTTTGGTTTATAAACACAGTACAAGAAAGTAAGAAACAAAACAATTCAATTAGCAACTCACAAGAGATTTAGCATTACTGATTTTCTTTTTTTTTTTAAATAGAAATGAAATACTGTTCTGGAACAGTCTTTAAATTTCTCCTCTATCACAGATAACCTGAATATGGGCACATTAATGTGGGACCCTGATATCATTTATGCTTTAGCATACCAACCCTTTGTGACTGTTCATGGTTTAAAATGACCTTGCAAATACTCCTCCCATTTCTTTTGAAGTTAGAGTGTGAGGTACACTTTAGAAGACAAAGAAGATTGAAAAAGCAAGAAAAAATGCATCTTAAAATTATATAGAACTAAGTGTAGAAAATTGACAATACCATTGTCTAGCTCTTCCCACATTATTCAATATTAGAGATCAAAGAAGAACTAAGAGGCCAAATTTAGGTACTCAGGGGGATCATTGAACACCTTGTTTAGTGTCTTCATAAAGTATCATAAATCACTTTTCAGAAGAACCTAGTGCCTGTGTTCACTGGCTAGGCTCCACAGTCCAGCCACCTTTAAAATCCTCCAAAAATGCCTCAGGATCAAGAAAATTATATATTAATTTCTGTGTGAAACATAATTCAAAGTTTGTGTTTCATCGCCCTGCCTGCCCTTAGAAACTTTTATGAATTTTAAATAGTCCTTATTCTTTTAGAATGCTTTCTATTCCACTTAAAGCATTAACTCAAAGTGAGATGCAGAAAGGCAAACAATTTTTATAAATTAATAGCCCGATATGTAATTACATTTTCAGCCACTATCCTTAAAAGATATTTCTGAGCATTATTTTTAAAAGACCATCTATAAGATTTTTAAAAACTCTTAAAATCACAAGAAACACTCTTTCATATGCATCAAATTGTGCCTAAATGTTCAAATATTATGTAAACAAATTGTTTTCCCAAAACTATGCAGGAGACTTAATGAGTCCAAATAAAATATAAAATATAAATCTTAGTTGCCACATCAGCCTTCTGGTGGCCGATGGCTCGGTAAATTCGGTGGAATGTTATGGTCTGATCACGAATGTTCGTTGTTTGAAATATTCTGTACAGTGGGAGTTGTATCTAGCCCCAGTAAAGTTCCAAGATATGACTGGTCTCTAGGATCCAGCATCTGCTCAGGCCTTACAGGATGGACAATGTTTGCAGGCTGTGGAGTCAGGGTGTATTTCTCGAGGAAGGAGAGCTCCGTGGCTCGCTGATAATCCGGCTGCTCGGGCTGCGGGGGAAGGATGCCGTGGGACTGAGCACTGTGCTGCACCAGCTCTGCTTGGGGGTCTGGCATGGCCACGGGGACCAGAGTCACAGGCACACACACTTCTGGGGATACATTCTGCAGCAAAGTTTTGGCTTCTGATTGATATGCTTTGGACTGTTCTACGTACTGTTTCGCCTCAGTTTGGTAAACTTTGTCATCAGAGGTGTACTGCACTGGTATGGAGACTAGCTTTTCCTCTGGAGAAGATGCCATTGCCTCTTCTGCAGCCTTAGAGCCATGAACGTGATCAATATGATACTTCAGCTTGTCTTTTCGTTTGAATGTTGCATTGCAGTGTTGGCAGTTAAAGGGTCGAGCATCCGAATGAATAACCATGTGTTTCGTTAATGTCTTCTTAATTCTGAAAGACTGATTACAGATCTGACATTTGTAGGGCTTCTCACCTGTAAAGACAGAGAAGTAGCCATTAGTTATTCTGAGTAACATCAAATCACACATAAATATGCAAATATCTTCCAGGAATTATGGCATCAAGACCTACCATGAAACAATTTTACTGAAAACAAACTGTAAGTTCAGCACAATTTCAGAATCAAGAGAGTCATCAGGAATTTGTTTAGAAGTTATACTGGCATACTCTTCTCCTTACATACATTTCTCTCAGTACTCTGGACTTACATTAGAATACGAACTAAATTAAAAAGAACAGTATTTTAACTGTTATGATACTGGGATTAAATGAACTCAGTTTGTACGTCTATACATTTCAAAAGACAATGATTTTCCTAAACACAAGGCAGGAAAAACGAAGTTAAACAGAAAGGACATAGCCCTTTCTAAAGGGAGCTCAGTCCTTGTTTACATTAGCTCTTGAAATGCAGTAATCTCTGGAGCACAGAAACATTTAGAAGGTGTGGGTAAATCTGGCAAGAACACACATACCAGCGAACTAAAGGAGAAGGTGCAAAAAGTGCCCCACAAACCTCAGCTGAGATTATCAGTATTCCAGGTAAGCAATCATAAAACAGTATTCAGGAATGGCCAATATAGGAGAATGAATAAAGTCTTGCTGCTTTCTCCTACTCTCATCCTGAATGCTCAACAACCATAATGAATTAAATCATTTAATCAATATAGATGCATAAAAATACATTCCTACATGTTCTGTGGTTTAGTTGGGGTTTATTTTCTTTTTACCTGAATGTGTCCTAAAATGCATTTCCAAACTGGATTTCCCTTTAAAAACTTTCTTACAGACTTCACACTGGTGAAAAGTTGCTTTATATCTTTAAAGAAAAAAAAGACATTTTGTGTTATTTTTGTAACCAGCTAGCAGTAAAGTTATGTCCACAGTCCTTTCTGAAATCTTTAACTGCAAAACAGCTAAATACCAAACTTTCCAAATTTCCTCACTTATGTTCCTATTTCCTGGCATCTATATACCAATAAGGTCAATTACATTCTTTCCAATATTCAATTTTATTCTCTGTTGGCACTTCAGTATGGCACTTAAGTATTCAAAGAACAAAAGCCACTACAACTTATTTTTTAACCCCAAAAATCTCCTTAAGTAGCATTTTTTTGCCCAACACCCACAAGAAGCTTTTACTTGGACATAATCAAGTTCTAGGAATGGCAGAATTTCTAGGTAGGCTACTGCCTACCAAGGGAAAAAACCAGAAAAAGCAATGTACTGTACTTTTGTAAAGTCAGATACATCTTTAATGGCTTCTACACAACACTAATGAGTACTAACACCTAAACCATATCATTTGAAAAACAACCAGAGCTGTCTATTTCAAATCTCTGAGAAGTTTATTTTTAGAGCTCAAGAGTTCTAAAACCTATTGCATTTTCAAGTTAGAGACACAACTTGGATTTCAAAGTTTTTACCTCCTTTCAGAGCCACTACTCTGCTGTCAGCTTCTAAAATACCTTAAATGTGAGATAATTCCCCCCGTGCTTACATGATGACTAATAATTCAGTTTTAACTAGTCTGCAATGAGAATATTACAGCAAACCATCAATTAAAAACAATGCTGAGATAACTAATTGACAAATTAAAATCTAATCCTTTTTAATGTTTTTATTGACTTAATTGTGCTACAAACTAAATACCTAGCTTAAATTGTGGAGGCAATTTTCTGGCATCCCCTTCAAACTGTAATAATATCTCTAGGAAGCCTGAGGTACAGGCGTGACAAACACACAGATAAGCAGAATTCTGCTCACTCATGCAAGTCCCAACAAAATCAGTTACAGTAGAGAAGCATTCATGCAGTTGTAAAAACCCCACACTTACTTCTGCCAAACTTTTTCTCCTAGGTGAACACTTTTATAATGAACAGTGAGGTGGTCTCGACGGCCAAAACATTTTCCACATTCCTCGCACTGATGTGCTTTTTCACCTACAAAGGCAAAATTCAATAAATTTTGGTTAAGTCATTTTGGAAATTATCAAATGTCTATGACCTATAATCATGGTCCCAAAGTTCAGCCAATCAAGCTCTTCCACACCTCACTTGGAGAAAGATTCTCTCCTATTAAAGAAGAAATAAGACAGAATGGTGGTTCTATTGGAGTAGGGACTTTCCCACTTGTTATACAGGACTAATCCAAATGATTCCTAGACAGAACTTTGTGCTCCAAGTCAAGAGACACTTCCCCAAACTCACTGCATGGGAGTACAAGTGAATGACTGGGAATGTACTCTCTTCATTGTGACCTGAAACACCGTACCTCCAATAATTCAGCTACTTTAAAGAGAAACTTATTGAAACATACCAATTATTTTCAGCTAATAATTTGTATAATTTAAAATTACACCTCAGTGTTTATCATTTTAATCATCCTGATGGACATAGTTACCTTTTTCTTTTATGCTGCTGTTTAAGAGTATCTTGATGCTTTTTAGTCATCTTGAGATCTTCCACAATGTGGCAGAATATTTCTTCTCATGTAAATAGGGGTGTGGACAGTCAAAGAATGTAACTTTCTAGAGGGGGAAAAGCAAATAGAGCAGAAAAGAGGATTTTTTTTGTTTGTTTTGGTTTGTTTTTGGTTTTTGTACTTGGGAGTTTTCAAAGATTTCTTTATTTCATAGCAGACATGATTTCAAACACCAGGAAAGAAGCTGTCTTTCACATAAAGACTCAGGAAGTTTAGACTCTGATCACTTTCATACTTCCATGCTGCCTAGAAAGTATTTTGCCTCCTAAAAGGTTGTATTTCCTCTGGATTCTGTTGTGAAAAAGTCACTGGTGAATCTTTGCTCTTCCTATACATTTGATAACGTTTTTGCTCTCAGAGCACCAGGTTTTTTTTCTTCTTTCTGATCATCCCCATCTGCTCACAGGGCTGATTCCCTCAGCCTTCCTTCCCTCTGTCCCACAAGAGAGTTCAGAAACACCTCTCTGATGTTCTTTGCATTGAAGTGATCAGTGTACAAACTTTGACAGAGACTGACAGCTTCCTCTGTGTTGTGGCAATAATGTTTCACACAACTGCTATTTAAAAAAAGAAATCTGGAATCATTAAAAAATCCTCCTTTTTCACTTTTGCTTTTTGTGTTTATGATTGTTAAAGCAATTCATTGTTACATGTTTTTGACTGTCCCTCAGCTTTCTATGGTATCATGGAGGAAACATTTGACTTTTAAACCTTTAAAACAAGTAAGATTAACTCTACTTTAGTAGACCTTAAAAAGAGTGGCAGGAACTTTTATCAGGCCTAAAACATTGCATGCACTGAAAAGAAATTCCATCATTAACTTTTTATACGGTTTAATTTCGAAAGAGTAATTTTGAAGCCAATTTCCAAAGAAAATACCTACCTGAATGTATTTTTTTGTGTTTTGTCAGATGGTCATGCCGAATAAATGTTTTCCCACATTCTTCACATTCATATCTCTTGTCATCATGATGCACTCTTAGATGAAGTCTGCATATTGAGTCATAAACATGACCATAAAAAGCAATTTTGTTAACATAATCTGTACTGCTAATTCAATGCAAAATAGCAGAAAATGCAGTCTTTAATGCTCCACATAAGTATCAAGAAGTAACTTGCAGCTGAACTGCACCTGAATTGTTCTTAGAAAGCAAGAGAGAACGGAGATGAGCTCTCTTAAGTTAAATTAATTTAGTGGGATATTTTATGCTTATTTTCTCTTTGAATAACAAAAACACAGAAGTTACACATATGCAAAAAACTCAACTTTGAGAAAAGATCTGTAGTGTTTAAACCACTAATGTATTACAAATTAAATCAATTCTGACAGATTAGAAATATATCTTTTAAATGGAAAGATGTTTAGAACATTTACTAATGCTCTCAGAAGTGGAGTACATCACACATATACATTACAAAGAATTATGTCAATAACATGAATGCATGTATATCACCAAAGAAGCAAAACAGTTTGGCAGCTTGTTTACTAAAATTCTATACCTGTAAGAGCTTCCATGACGAAAACTCTGCCCACAAATACTGCAAAGATGAGGCTTCTCTCCACTGTGAATTCTCAGATGTTCTTTCAAAGTTGTTCTGTTTAACAAAGCCAGTAAAATTGAACTTTAAGCAATGTCCCTGCCACTTTAAAGTGAAGCACACTATCATTTTCTTAATTTCTTTTACTGTGATGGATCACAGTAGATCTGATTGGCTGCATAAATTCAGATATACACACCAACACATGCATTCAAAGACAGTCTGGCAACCTATTTACTGAACCAACTGGGTCTAGAAACAGTATCAGGAAAGAAATAAAGCACTGTCCCAATGTAAATCTGGAAAACATACATTCAAGAAAACTTATTTCCAAAAAAACTGCAAGATGTTTTTGCACAACAGAGAAACTTAAGAAACTTAATAGTAAGAAACTTAAATGAAGTGAATAAGAGGTAAGACTTTTGTAATATATTTGTACTTCATAATTAATTACCTACAGCTGTCCCTCTTAATTTTAGAGGTGATCAGAAAATCCCATGCTACCTGTGGCTCTCACACTACCTTTTAATACACTAACACTCTTGAAATGGTCTCATTTATGTTAAAAACTCCAAGCATATTCAACAGCAACCAAAGTATGCTAAATATTGCTGTGTTCTGCTGAAGTTCAAGTAGTCAGCCAAGTGCTTACCGTTCCCTGACGGATTTCCCACAGATGAAACATGTCCATTTCCTCTTTCCCCCATGAGTACATTCTATGTGGCGTTTCAGATTCCCTGTGTCATTAAACTGGCGGCCACAAATATCACAAGGAAAAGGCCCTACAGAGAGAGACAGACACATGGAGTAGGATTGACTGCCAGATAAAATAAACAACACGCCCAGACTGGTTACTTTGAAAACCCTCATCAGTTTACAAAGCAAAAGTTTTGTCTAACAAATTATTCATCTTTAGTACAGTCAGCATACTTTAGTTAGCTTTTGTGAACTTTCTGCTAAGTTACTCCTAAGATCTGGCATTTTGACAAATTTCATGACAGTAAAGCAAAAATTCAGAATTCATAGTCAAAAGCAATTAAGCCCACTTAGACCATTTGAAATAAAAAATTCTTATCACCCCTCTAATTCCTACCCAGCAGAAATAATCAGTAGTATTAAAAAGTCTGCAGAATACTTCAGGAGGAAAGGAAAAGGTCCTTTGAAAACTTCAGGAAGAATCTGACTCCCTAGCTAAGAATCAATTTTGTGCAAAAAACTTTCAAATCAAACTAACCTTAATTCTTCTTTCTCCCCAAAATTCTGACTTATCTGGGTACAAGAGAATGCCTCAAAAAGACAGCTGAACACAAAAGTAAAAACCCAGAAGAAAACCTTCCAACAACTCTCCCCCAAAAGTGGAAAAGAGAATTGCAAAAAGAGGTGGGGTGGAAACCAGACTGACCAGGACATAAAATGGTGGGGGAATGTTTTACTTTAAATCTAGTGTTTACATGTCAGAAGGAGGTTTCTATACCGAGATGGAATTTTTCTTGATGTTTCAGTCTTGCAAAGCGGGATTTAAAATGCTCTTCACAGTAGGTACATTTAAAGGGTTTATCCTGAGAGTGAAGGATCATATGCTCTTCCAAGTGAGGTCTTCGAGTGAAAGATTTCTTACAAATCTGAAATGATACCACACTTTGTCAAAGATACATCCAATACAACCAGATTCTTTTCCTCTTCATAAACTCGTAACAGTTTATTTCATCTGCTCTCTGCACCAATGTAAGATTAAACACGGATTCTTCAAAAACCTCTATGTCACTATGGAAAGCCTTGCAGTCAACATCAAAACCAACCTGTACTCTACATAAACCAGAGTGGACTGTAGCTGCATAGGTCAGGATGCAGATCCAGCCTAAACCAACTACTGGCAACTCCTGCATGCAGTTGTATGTTCCTCTCCAGTCCTTCCTTCTACTGACTCCAGCACTTCCCAGACTCCCTTCCTAGGGTGTTTCAACACAGTAACTCAGCCAAAAATAACCCAGTGGAAAAAAGCAAATAGCTTTGGCTTGGTTTTGGATGCTGAAACAGTTTAGTTGGACTGTGGTAAAAGTTGTTGTAGTACAAACTACCGTAGAACCAAAGTCACACCTATTCCTTTATTTTCTCTGGGAAATTCCCTGACAGCAGCTACTAAAGAGAAAGTGCCAATACCAACAAGGAAATATAACTCAAAATACATTTTAGAACTACAGGATCATCACAAGCCCAACATTATGTGTGCTTTTTAGTACTGCTTTCAGATTAACCAAAACGAAAATGTTCAAAAATTATTAGCAGTGACTTAAATAAGCACACAGTACAATTAGAGAATTGAATCCACAGCTCAAATCCAGGCATTTAAACCAGGTATTACAATTTATCATCAGGGTCCTATGCTTCAACACACAGAGTGCTCACATAATTCCCTGTGAGACTCCTGCTGTTGTTTATGGCATCTCAGCTGAGCACTACAACTCCCACACATTAACTCCTGAAATAACCTTCACAGAGCACACATGAATAAGGAAATCAAAACCAGCAGCTCTATTTGTTTAAAAACTCATTAATGTACTCATTAATGTTAAATATAGGTGTAAGAAAATCCATATTGGCATAAAGTATAATATCCCTCTTGCTTTTCCTTACTATTAATATCTACTGTTTGTGTAAATTTGCCCATATTCCTCAAGGATTAAAATATGGTCAGCAACTCCTGTTGTTCACAGACAGATTACAGCATAAACCAATAACCTTAGTGCAGCTTACATCTGTGGCACCTTCTCCCTCAGAACACACCACATGAACAAACAAAGTCACAGCACAGCACTCAAGGGTCCTGTTCAATGTCCAAAAATTGGAATTCTACCTGCTTTTAATTCAAGTCCATTTTCAATGCACATGAGCTGCTCAGGAGCAACAGTTCACTTTAAAAATCTCTACTTACAATTTTCAATTTCAAAAATAAACCCACAAACCAGGAAGTGGAGTTTATCAAATCACTCATCTGGAAACACACTTTCCCAGGAATGAATGTCAACAATGTTGCACAATTGATTCTCACCATTAAAATGTTTCTTATCTAGTAACAAACAGAATCTGTAACACGTTTACACAACACAGCTTCACCTGGAAGATAACACCCTTTGATGAACCAGGTAATAACCTTGAACCACAGTCCCACCAGCTGCACAATGAACAATAGAAATTCCTATGGCTGATATCTCCCAACTTTATACTGTGTGTTTACAAGTGAAAGTTCCCAAATAAAGCAAGGTTGTAATTATGTTACAGCCCCTAATATTGCAGACATACTGCAGCATACAGCAGCTTGCATAAACTAAACAGCTGCCCTAAAAAACAAAAAGGAAATCAATTCCCTTTAAAAAAATAACACATCTGAAACATTACAACATTATTTGGCAGCATACACATAGAAAATGGAAATTCTACAAATTCCTTTTTAGAACAGATGCAGTTTCACATATATACCTCTCACAAGAAAATCAAGTAAAATATTCTGTGATTTTACAACTAGAGATAAATTTAGCACAAATTTACAATTCTGTCGACATGCATGTGCAGGTAAATGAGAAAGTGTTTAATATTTAACATATATTTTCCTTGCAATTGAGAGATCCTTCCTGTAACAGTATACTTTATGGTCAGTGTTTGTTATGTGTAATTAACAGGAGAGCAAATACTGGTTTTAAAGCATTCATAACACTCAAGTCTAATAATATGTAAACTGATGTATTTGAAAAAAATCCTGCCTCTAACTATTTTAGAATTCAAATTGCGTTTATTTATCTGACCAGAGGCTGTACCTATACAGTAGACACAAAGTTCAGTCCTTAAAACAGCAGACAGAGGAAATGTATCACTTAGAGGAAAACCAACCCCTAGAAAGCTTTCTCAGATTTCACAGAAACACATACCAGATTTTCATTAAAGTTCACAAAAGGTAAACTCTATATGGAAAAAAAATGTACTGAAGGATTACTTACATCACATTTCCAACCCTCACTCTTTGTCTTCTTGATAGAAAGAAATTCTTGCACATTCTCTGGATGAAACCTAGGAGAAAGAAGCTGAAAGTAGTCATAACTTTCCAAGATGACGATAATCCAAATACTAAATATCTATTTCTAAGCTTTATACGTCATGGAAGTTGATCACCACACTGGCAGAACAGAATACTGATGCTGAAACACTTTTAATGACACAAGTAACTGGAAAACAGTGTTGACTACGGACTTCTGTAGAACCTTATACAACATCGGCTAAGACAGAAGGCAGTTTCAACTTCTGGATATTTACAAAGGGAAAAGAAAAAAGGCAGTATATAAATAATAATACCTTATAATTAGACCTGCCATAAATTATTTATCTAAAAGAATCTGCACAGAAACTGTTTAGACATTTATTATCATCAACAGTAAAGCACTGACATCTAAAACTAAAGAAGGTATTTTACTCTACCTTCAAATTAAAAGCAGGTAATTTTTAAGTCTGATGTGTTCTGACTGTGCTAGCTCATCTGAAAGATTCTAAAATTTGTAATAAAAACTTTTGGCAGAACCCTCATAGAAGCACTACTGCTATTTCTTACGGCAGGTTAGGTGATACTGCTAATTCCCATGCCCTTTGAAAAGGCAGTAATTTCAAGAAATAGTCATAAAAATCATGCACAGTATGCTGTGTTTATATATATATATATATGCTTATCTTCACTTTTAAAATGAAAATAACACTTCTTCAGAAATGCCAGACACATTATACTTGCCTCTTCACGTGCTTCGCTAAGGTCTTCTTGCTTGCATGGAGCTTATTGCAGTAGGGACATTTGTGTTCCTTCTTAAGGAAGTCAGTGTCACTGGAGTGTTTCTTTCTGTGCACTGTCAGGTTGGACTTGGTAGAGTAGCGCTGGTGACAAATGTCACATTCAAAAGGCTTCTCGCCCGTGTGGACACGCGTGTGGCTCTCGTATTTGCCTGGACAACAAAGTCAAATCTGTCAGCATGAACTGTACCAGGTACCACCTGCAATAGGCATGCTTGGGGCTGGTTCTCTAATCTCTCTCACATGCAGACAAATTCTAAGTACCCTCCACATCCATCCAAAGATTCCTACTGGCTTCCACCACTGAAAAATGCCCAGTGCTCACCTATGCGTTTGATCCAAGGTCTCTCCAAACGCTTCCCATAAGTTTGTGCAAAGGTTACAAGTCACTCTTGTTCAATCTTACAGCACAGTCTGACCTTAAATACTGCAAATTACAGTCCTATTCTTTCACTACACTGATCACGAGTACCTTTGCAGAACGGGGAACAGCCTCACAACCAACTGGTAATCTTAAGGTACTTTCAAATAGCAGAACAATGAAAGATACAAAACCCTTGCACATTATCTGTACTTGGGACCCAACATACTGCCAGAAACAAAAATGCTACTCTCTCATGTCTTTCACACAGCCTGTATTCTCTCTTCTGTTTGCCAGTTTTTCCTGAGGACAAAATTCTATCCTGTGGATAAATCTACCTCGAGTCAACAGCAGCCTCTCTGCTTTGTGCTAGATTTTACTTTTTTCTCTGCAGAACATACATGTGTGCTGCTGTATAGTACTATAAATTTATGAGCTTCTGCAGCTCATAGATTTAATATGTAAGTCAATTGTCCATTGTAATACAAGCTTATAAAGAAATACTTTATGTATCACTTGTTTTAATGCATGCTTGCCATGGATTTTTTGAGCACAGAACTAGAATTCTAAGTCATGAATGTGCAAAGAGAAAAGGGCTTCCAATGTGTGCAGAATCAAAATGTACCATTCCATCCCTAAATACTCACAGGCCATTTATTTCTGCACAGTAACTGCTTTTACACACTGTGCTAACAACCAGAATCCAGAGCAGTGGAAGAGAAATAAATGTAGTATTTGCAGATTTTAAAAATAATGTGCTCAGGTAATTTATTGAAACTATTTAGCACCACAGACACAACAACTTAATACACTTCAAGAAAATAGCAGTATACTGGATCAGTGAGATGATCCAGAAATTCTTATATTCACTCCTCAGGACAGAGAAAAAACTTGGTTTATTTCCCACACAAACAGGAGATGAAGGAAATGAACCTCACTCGCTCTTACCTATTCGATCAAACTTTTTGTCACACTTGGGACACTGCAGCAGCTTTTTGCTACTGCTTTGAATGATGACGGGAGCTAAGCCTTCAGGAATATTCCCCATTGAGTCAACTGCTTCAGAACCCTCTTCAGCATCATTCTGTTCCTTTTCACTTTGTTCTTCAGATTCTGAATCTTCACCTGACATCTCCTCTTCCTGCCCATCTTCATCCACATTGCACTCACTTTCTTCACTGTCTTCAAACTCACTTCTCTCAGATGTCTCCTTGTCAGAACTGACTTTTTCCAAGTTGCTGTCAGAGGCATCACCGCTGTCAGTGTCACTGATACCGAACTTAGCGGGACATTTCCGGCTTCTGGTGGAGCGCCTGGTGGAAAAGCTGGCCTTCTCAACCATTTTTAACCCATGCTTTTGTTCCAGGGAAAGGGGGCGGTGGGCTTTAGCCAAATGATTTTCCAAGGACTTCTTGTAACAGAAACTTCGACCACAGTAAGTGCACTGATGACTATTTAACAGTTTACCTGTCAGTTCACTGAGTGTTTCCACTGGTGTAGGTGCATCAGTTACCACATCAGTCTGTACAGTGGAAACACTTTCGTTATTTAGTAACTTCACTGCATCTATGATGTCTAAAAATTTTGCGGCTTCCAGCACTAATGGAATTTCATTTTTATACACAAAAAACTCAGAAGTGTAAAGAAACTCAAGCAAATGTTGAAAGACAGAATGAGTTACATGATCTAACGTGACAACGTCGGTGCTTGGATTTTTGCTCAAACAAGCATGAAAATAACTACTCCCAACAGCCACAACAACTTTGTGAGCACTAAATTCTTTTCCTTCTACAATTATGAGTAAATCACAAAACGATGGATGTTTCTGTCTATCATCATTTAGGTATTTAAGTAGATTTTTGTTATATTGCAATGAGCTTAGGAGCTTTCTTTGTTCTGGTGATGGTGAAAGTTCTTGGGAAGATTCGAGCTGATCTGCAGGAGCTATTTCTGCAGACTTGGAAACAATTTCTTGCGCACAGTCCACTACAAGAATCTGTTCTGAAGTATCTTTCTCATGGCCAAGATGAACCTTTTCATTTAGACTTGCAGCGAGCCGTCTCCTTTTCTTCATTGCAAAAGTGCAACTTCAGGATCAGGAGCTTCATAGGTGATTACCAAAGAGTTCCCGTGAAGACTTGGTTCTGCTCCAGACCTTAAGAAAATATACAACAGTAATTTCATACTCTGCCAAAATAATTATGATAAAAATTATTCTTAGCTTAACTTAAACATTACTTCAATTTTAAATAACGCTTTCTATATTTCTCTGTTAGTTTTATGTATCTGCGTAACTGAGGTTTTTATTAAATCACTAAAATCTCTGCGTGGCAGACCGCGGCACAGCCTGCTGCGAGCCAGCGAGCACACACTGCCTATTATTAGCTCTAAGGCGGCGGCCGGGCTGCCTTCGCCCGGCTCCCGGCCGCATTTAGCCTGTGCCCCGCTCCGGGACGGGCGTGCACTCTTGTTATTATTCCTGCACCGAAGCTCCTTCTCTTCCCGTTTCACCCCAGCAGGGCAAAGCCAGCCCAGCTGCTCCCCAGGCCGGGCCGGTCCCCCGGCGCCTGCGGGGGCCAGGCCTGTCCCCGCCGAGCGGCCGCGCTGCCCTGGCCCGGGGCCCCGGGGCCGCCGCCTTTGTCCCCCGCCGAGGGCAGGGCACGGGGCGGGGCGCGGCGGCTGCGGGGCGGGACCGCGGCGGGAGGGGCCCGGCGCCGGAACGCGGCCCCGGGGCTGAAAGGAGCGGGCAGGAGCCAGGAGAGCTCGCTCGGAGTGGCCGAGCTGCCGCCGGCTCCGCCCCGCGATACCCCTCTGAGGCTGGCTCCCGCTTGGAAGCGGTGCTCGTATGGGCTTGTGAAACTCCCGGGTTGCCTGCTTCCCGAGTTTTAATTTTTGTTCTGCTTGAGTATTTCGAAGCACTTGACGTGGAATTCGCAGTTTCCGTGCTCGCTCCTCCGCGTACGGAAGGCACTGCCTGCGGTCCCTGCAGCTCCTCCTCTCCTCCGGAGAGCCAGCTGCCGGTGACAACGTGACACCGAAAATGAGCTTGTTTTCCTGACAGCCTTAAAGGAGGATTAATGGAGGATTAAACTCTGTTCCGCGACGTGCATTCTGTATTTGTCATCTGTAAATGGATACTGAACAAAGTGTGACTCGAAGGTCTTGCATTTTAAAATAAAAAATACAATACAATACTGAATGTTCTTAAAGCATTTGTTACCTCCTGTGCGTTGCTGTGCTGCCTGTACTCACAGCCCTGCAGTTTCCATGAAGTCCACACATTTAACTTCGAATTTGCATTTGTTGTTGTTTGGTTTGGGTTTTGGTTTTTTTTTTTTTCACTTTTAGTAGTACATTACAATAAAATTAATTCAATAGTAAACTGTTTCAAGTAATATTCTAAGTAGTATCAGTTCTTTTTTTCAGTTATTATATAGTGAAACAATGGTGTCAATAAAAAATGGAGCAATCAAGATTACCATGGTTTTCTTGCACTGAAGACAAAAATCTACTTACCTCTCAGCCATCTGCTCTTTCAGGATGTTCCTTGTGCATGGCCACCTTTTATTTCTACAGAATAAAACTGTACATAAATAAGTTTCTCTGTTTGGTAAATTTCTGGGTTTTGATTTTGCATGGAAAAAGAAAGTTCTAGAGCAAGGCACTTTAGACGTTAAGCTGAGCCTTACATTTCACTCTAATCTGAATAACAAGCCCATAAAAACATCATTAGTGGGGTAATTGGCTTCTTGGGTCTTACTGTTTCCATAGCAAATCCCTCATTTGGAAAGAATAAAACTAAGGGCTTCATCAGTCTTCAGGAGTGAAATAAATAAGGAAAATGCAGCCTTGATGAGAACTATTTTGCCAGCAAGTACAACCAAGCTAGGGAAGTGCTCCCTGGGACAGGGATAGTTTCTCCTGTGTTGTTGGGGGGCTTGGGGAAGGGTTTGGGTTTTATTCCCTAGATAACTACCTGATTTTTTCTTTATTTGCTGCTGCTATTATTGACTCTGTGTTGAGTACAGTGTGGTTTCTTGGCAGTCTGCAAAGCATCTACAGCTTATTGCCAAACTGTACAAGTTCAGCGGGCATTCTGACTTTGCACAAGCCTAGGTAACACTTTTCTTCTCTTGCTATTTTATGATACATGAAGGATTTAGTTCAAAGAAAAATCGTACAGTGCTAAGTGATCCATTACCATGCCTGGCATTACTGCAATAATTATGCTCTGGAAACAAAATGTTCTTGAAATCTCAGGTCATTATGGTTCTTTCAGCATTAAGTCTTCTGCAGTTGGTACAAAGTACAAGGAGTACAGACAAAATTTAACTATATTAATCCCTTTTGTTTCAATGCTTATTCATACTACATTTTCCTGCCAGTTAATAGACTATCCCACATAGGTTAAAAAGCTGACTTTAATTAAAGACAGCATCAATTAACGAATAAGCACTTGCTCACCTACTGCACAAAATTTGCAAATGCAGCTGCTTTGATTTGTCCAGGAAAACAGTATATTTATCAAAGCAATAGTTTTGAATTGTTGGAAATTAAGAAGTAGCTTTGTGCAAGAAGGTTTGGTTTTGAAGGAGGTGGTTTCATCTTGAAGTACTTGTTCTGCAGCTCAAAGTCTTCCCTTCTGAGATACAGTGGAACTAGAAATGACAGATACTTGAATCAAATACTGTTTAAATAATGAGCAGATAGGGAATCAACTCTTAAGCTAAGCAGTTAGCCACCAACTAAACAGAAATAAACTTACATAAAAATAGCATGCAAGTTTTAATACCTGGTTGAGTTATTTCAGTTTATTGCCAATATACTTCTTAAGAACTGATCACTGTAAGCACCCAGTTATAAATCTAGTAGCACGTACATTCACATCCTCCTTCAAACAGCTGCCTTTACTTTGGCCACAACATTTTTGCTAAGGTAAATGTCTCTCTCTCTAGGAATTGTATTGCTAATCTGCCATGAGTTCATGGTGCATGACACTGCTGAAACATGACCCATGCTGTCACTCTTCCTTTTGTATCCCAGATGTGTCAGTGATGGGTGGGACCTAGGGAAGAACCCACAAAGCCTATACTTCCTCTAGTCTGAGATTTTTCTGTATTTTATTGCCAATCACCACATCCACACAAATGTTTTAAATTAGGCTGTGAAGTGAAAGGGCTATAAGATTGCCTAGAGACTCCAACAAGTTTTCTAGCCAACAGTGCTGAATAAAGTCCATTGCTGGAACCATTGCCAAGAAATTCTTTCACATAGGCCGTGAAAAGACCACCCGGGTCTCTCAATTCAGCACTCTCTGGGGCACTAATCAGCTGTACTATTATGGATGCTTGACATGTGAATCATGTTGATCAGGCTTCTCCCCTTGTCTCCTCTCTAAAGTGCAGCAAGTGAAACGTGGAGAGAAGGAGGTCAGATCCACCCTGACTGTATCAGCCTGACTCATTCTGTCCGGGAATTCTCGTGCAGGGAAGGGTGGACACCACCTCTGCTTGTGTTTTGGTCCCTGGAGTGTTCTGTAAGCAGACATGAGGTGAATAACAAGGATCTGCCATGTTTTTCCAGGGGATTCATACAGCGTGGAAGTTGCACAGGGCTATAGGGCTACAGACTCCACAGAACAGATTTCCTCACGGAATGCTAATCCAGTGCAGCCCTGAGGTGAAATCAGCAGGGACCAGGAACAAGACACTCCCTGCTGTCACTGTAAAGCAGAAATGCTAGGTCTGTTAATTCTGAACTCGGTACTAGGCCAGTTCTGCAGGTAGATTCACAGGTGCACTGCACTGCCTTCCCACTTTGAAAAATATGGCAACTGAAGAAATCCTGGCTAGAGGGAAACTGCCCGTGTGATTTCCTGCCATCCCTGCCTGCTCCACCCGATCCACTGGTGCCTGGCAGCTCAGGGGAAAGGAGGGTGAGAGGAAAGCTGAATCAGAGAGAATAGCTCTGGAGGAAATATCTGTCTGCCCTCTACTGATGTAAGCCTTAAGCAGTATTACAAAATTGCTGTAAATTGAAGCAGTACCCCTGCCTGAAGCTGTGTAAAGAAGAAACAAGGACTTAACATTTATTTTCTGTTGTTTTGGGTGATGTTTTCAACAGAGCAAATTATACCTTTTGCAATGATGTGCCACTAGCATCAGAGGTATTTTCCTTTAAACGCGGCAAGAACTGGGGAGAAGTGAAATATCTTTTATTAGTTCAGCTGGTGTATATCACCACTGGAACTAAAAACAATGCCCCAGCTCTGGGAGCATGACCATGAGAAGACTTCATGTGCCCAAAATCATCTCTATTTTTCCAGCCATATCAGCTGGTTAGTAAAAGGTATTGCCTCTCCAATAAATCTTGCTTTATTTATTGCCTTAGATCATTGTAACTGCAACAACATTATCAAATTATCAGGTTAAACAACCATAACCAGACTTTCCTGTACAGAAATAATCTTGTTTCTCAAAAGTATATTGTGAAAATGTATAGAGTAAACAGCACGAAGAAGTTTCTCTGTGTCTTACATTGCAGCATTTCCATTGCACTGCCCAGTGAGAGGCTTGTAAAGCTGCTGGGGCACTCTGGGTGCTGAGGCCCCCATATGAGACAACAAGAATTTCAGTCATGGAGGGTAGCAGGGAGCTGATGTCACTGTCACTTTTTTCAGTCAACCAGAAACCAATTATCCCTGGCTGACAGGCCAAATTAAATCATTGGGTAAAGGAGATGCCAGCTATCCTCTCCTAGATTAGGTAATTGGGGCTTTATTACCCTCAGACCTGGTGCTCTTTGTTGGGCCACAGAATACACCTAAGAGCTATGCTGGTCTGTCTCTCCCTCTTTCCATCCTTTCCATAAGCATTAATATATTTTTAATCCCTGAGAAAAGTCTGCATTTTACATTAAAAATACTAATCTTTTCATATATAGATAATATTAATAGATCCTTCTAACTATCCAAGTTTATAAAGAACATGAAGTTAGGAGTTCTGGCCTAACAAGTCCTAACATGAAGTTAGGAAGGCCTCAGGTGGCAGCTTTGTACTGATTTATACTTGAGATCTCAGGTTTTTATCTAGTATTCTTGCAAAGATACAGAAAGTTTTTGGAACTTAAAAGTGTGTTGGACATAGTATCAGGCTGGTTTACTGAGGGGCTGCCTAGTTCGCAGCATGGATTGTTTGGAGCAGGAGAAGTGAGGCACTAAGGTGTCAAAGTCCCCTCTAGTTGAGGTCAGCACCTAGTTGTGGCCCTCCAAGGTCTTCAGGAACACAGTGCTTGCAGTGACACAAGGAAGTGGTACTGAACTAGCTCATTTAAATTACCAAGGTTAAAATCTGCTTAGATTGCCCAGTAGAAAGCAGAATTTGGTACACAGGGATACAACTATGCATGCATGTAAGAACCTGGGTGTACAATGTGCTCAGTACTTTTTATTGAAGAAGAAAAAAAATACATTTGCTATTGAAGACTTTTCAGAAATGGAGTATAATGCATAGAAGCTTCTGAATGGGATAAAAAATTGAAAAGCTGATGGTGGTAATTCCTTGGAAGGTTAACACATGAAGCTGACAAATTACCAGCAGCTATTAAGGCTTTGTGCCTTCAGAAAGTATCTGGT